AACTCTTTGTTAATCCCCATCACACGCACACAGTCTTCAAGTGACCTTAATTTGTTGCTTTTACAGTATTATAGATTTCTCTAAAATTAATGCAGAAAGTGTAACTTGCTTTGGCTCTGTAATTCCAGAACCTTAGATTTTCTCCCTGCTGATCGTTTTTATTCCTCGACTACAAACGATACAAGGACTTGAAAAAACAGACGTGTTGAGGTTCGTAGTGTGGATGTCGCTCTTCATTTATTTGCTCCTCGTTGCTAGGCAGCTTTCCCTTTTTCACACCTTCACACATGGGTTTGTGAAATCCGTCTTGTAACCCGCTCCCCCCTCCATCTCCCTTTGGCTTTACCTCCCTTTCTCTCAGCTCTGTCACCCCTCTGTGTGCCCTCCTGTTATTCAACTCCTCTTGAACGGCTTCTACATTTTTACCACGTCCTTTCTAAGCTTCCCTTCTTCATCCCCTCCACCACCTCCTCCTCTTTCTCCCATACCCCACTGAACAGAGGCCTCAGTGTGCGGGTCCATGGGCCAAGTGGCAGCAGAATGGGAGGGGGTGTGAGGATTGAAACGGGGGAGGAGACGAGCAAAAGGCTGTCACAAAAGCCTTGTTTAGAGGTGTATTTGGATGCTAACACAGACGTCCTGGGAGCACTGAACTCCAGTTGTGGTGGTCTGTTTTTCTGATGTGGCCACTCTATATCACAGGCCTCATTTCATGATACAGTAGCTGCGTCATTAGCCTAAACAAACTATGTAAACCACTATGTTCCGCTACACAAGCTAACATAAGATGTGACATGATCCTAAACAAGCTAAAATTAGCTTAAACAAGACACATTCCTAGCTTAAAATAAAGGCACTAATATAAAGTACTACATTATGTTAAACAAGATAACATTATCTGCTATGTTAGCCTAAACAATTTAACAGCATGTAAAACAAGTTAATTTTAGCTGATACAGTATACTAGCCTAATCCTTTGAACATTAGCTGCTACATTAGCCTAAAGAACCGAAGATAAATTGCTACCTTTAAATAAAAGCATTAACAAAAGCTGCTACAATTTCATATTTGTCTAAAAAAAAAAAACAAACCACGAGCTAATAAAAACAGTAGTATAGGAAGATAACTGGTGTAGGAGTCATTTTTCTTGTGCCCCTATCTTTATCACCACTAGGGGGTTGTATTTCATTTTATGCACTTGTTATGACAGGCAGGTATGAGGTTATGTAGGGTCAAGGTTAATTCTGTTCAGGTCTTGCTGATGAGATGGGGCAAACTGTTTTCTGCTGTGCTCAGTCTGGTTAAATATTGTCTTTGTTTAAATGGAAAGATAAACGGACATTGCAAAGGAAACAACTAGGGCTGGGTATCGTCACTGATTTCTAGAATCAATTCGATTCCGATTCACAAGGTCCCGAATCGATTCGATCCACGATTCAATTCGATTAGATTTGATTCAATTTGATTTAAATCTGGAGAATTTTGCCTCAGACAGTCAGAAATATTATAATTCAGATCAGTACATTAACATATTTTTCTGTCTATAAAAAGGAAGCTGATACTCGCAAGACTTTATCAAAGGTGTGAGCGTCACAGCAGATGCCTTTGTGTCAAAGCAGCTGAAGATAAAACACAGAAAAACATGAAGGTGATTTTTCCTGGCCTGGATTTTATAAAAATATTCTGCAGTACATCAAAAACGAAAGAAAACCATTAATCAACATATGAACATCACCTCTGACGTTACAGCTGTTTTATTAGAGACACAGCTGAGCGTTTTGCATTTTGCATAATTTTAAAAAGTTGAAATTTGTTCAGAAGCCTGTTGAACAGCAGAAATTAGGTTTTCTTTTCAGAAGTAAGTAAAAGGGGAAAAAAAAACAGCGGCCGACAGCGCTGTAAACAACCATAGACTTGTGCGTAACAAGCAAGCGAATAATGCAGAAAACAGATTTTTAGACGGGAAACTGTTCTTGAAGTATACAGAGAGAGAGAGAGCTGTGCATGAAGTGTGGTGGAAGCAAAACAGTAAAAGTCAGAGGGAATCCATGACGATGTTTATGTGAAGCGTAGTTTGGATCTTCTTTTGCTGCTGGTTCGGTCAATATTGTTTGGAGAGATCAAACTAACAGCTTTAGAATCAGCGCAAAAAAGGGCGTAAACACAAAGCGCGGACCGCCGAAACATCAGAATCAGCGAGCTGTCGGCATTCAGCCCCGACCGTGTCCGTGCCGTCGGGTGAGAGAAAGGCGACATCTCACTGATTCTGATCCATTGGCGGGTCCACGCTATGTGTTTACGTCTTTGTGCAGAATCCGTGTTTCTGCTCTCATTTACCGTTTTAGCTGTTTGCTGGTTGTTGAACTGTTGTGAGGTTTAACCTGAGATTCTGGCGTTTTGGGCAAAATGAATTTATATTAAAAAATCGATTCAGGATTTTAATGAATCAATATCACGTTATCCAAGCCAGAATCGATTTTAATTGATAAATCAATTATCAAAACCCACCCCTAGAAATAAATGAATGAATATAAATATCGTGAATATAAATGAAAACAAAGATTTGGCACGGTGAACTGTGACTGAGTGCACGTAAAAGCAACGCCTACTAACAAACAAGTAGCAAACCAGTAGCATCAAAATATAGGATTTACTCGCTACAACAGCGATATTTAACTTTTATCATGTACGTCTGATTTTTTTCTTCTTTTTTTTTATAATTTAAAGTTCATAAATTCCAGGAAAACTACCACTTTTTATGGGACTTTCTCTGTGTTGAGTACTTGGATTCACTTCATTTCATGACTGATGTCCTGTGCACAAGTTCTCTTTAGAGCTGCATCACTGTTTTCCAGCAGCTGCAACATGTGTTAAATTTAAATTCACCTCAAGCATTGAAAGCGGGGTTTAAGCCCACAGGAATGCCTGTAAACTGTTGCAGCAGTCGCCCGACCCTGGTGTTTACTGGTTTTATTGAGGTTCTGGTGGTCTTCATTCTCATGAAGCCAGGCAGCTCATTCAGAGGCTGCAGTGATGTCAGCTGCATGCTGGTCTCCCAGGTCTCTTGGGTGTTTGTTCACGAGAATGTGGGGTGAATGCTTTTTTGCCGTCTTTTACACACACACACACACACACACACACACACACACACACACACACACACACACACACACACACACAC